GGGCACTGATGAGGAGGCACTGGTAGGTGGCACTGATGGGCATTGACAGGCATCACTGATGTGCACTGAAAGGCAGCACTGACATATGGCACTGATAGGCGGCACTGACTGGCACTGATAGGCGGCACTGACGGGCACTGATAGGCGGCACTGATGCACACTGATAGGCAGCACTGATTGGCACTGATAGGCGGCACTGGCTGGCACTGATAGGTGGCACTGATTGGCATTGATAGGTGACACTGAAGGGTGACACTGAAAGGCAGCTCAGATGGGCACTGATATGTGGCATTGATGTGCACTGATATGTGCCATTGATGTGGCACTGATGGGCACTGGCACATGGCACTGTTCAGCACTGACAGCTGGCACTGATGGACACTGACAGGTGGCATTTCTGGGGCAACACTGATCATTAGGGCACACTGATCATCAGTGCCCTGATGATCAGTGTACATGTCCCCTCCGCGGAATGCCGATTACCGGCTCTCCTCTCCTCTCGAGATGTCAGCGTGACAGCTTGTGAGGAGAGAAATGCCGATAACCAGCATTTCCCTGTTTACATGTGATCAGCTGTGATTGGATACAGCTAATCACATGACCGAGCCGACAACTTCGTCTCTTTCCGTTGATCGGTGATCCGCTGTGTCCGAGAGACACAGCGCACCACTGATCGCCGCGCTGCGCGCTCCCTGAGCCGCGCATGTGCAGTGAGAATGGGAGGACATCATATGACGTCCTCCCAGAATGAGAGAACCACCTTGCGCCCGTCATTGCACTATATGGCGGGTGGTAGGTGGTTAACCTCTTCCCGTCCGGCCGTTGTATATGAACGGCCGGACGGTGGCAGTGCAGGGTTGGGTGGCTGTTTATAAACGGCTTCCCCGCACCCTGCTTGTGCGCGCTCCCTGGGAGCGTGCAGCACTGCGATCCGGTGCCCGCTGTGTCCTCCGGACACAGTGGAACACCGATCGTCAGACGGGACCTCGCATGTGATCACTGATTGGCCAATCAGTGATCACATGCAGAGTAGTACGCAAAATGTCACTTGTGACATCATTGCTTACTACGTGTGAAATCTGTGAATGATCACAGGTCACATGATACAAGGCTATTCACAACAGCCTTGTACCATGTGACAAGCTGTGACCAATCACAGCTCATTCAGTAGTTCTCAATGGCTGCAAGAATGCAGCTAGAGAGAAGGAGAAATGATTGCTTTTACATTCTTTATGGGTGTAAAAGCAATCAGTGTAAGAAAAAAAAAAATCTTCATCACCCCCCCACAAATAGTACAGTGTCACCATGGTGACACTGTACGGCTAGGGTGACAGTATGTAAAAAAATAATATAATAAGTGTAAAAAAAGATGTTTACAAATAATACTTTTTGGTTATAAACTAATTTGGGTTATTTTTTTTTTTTACTAAAAATATAACGGAATAAATTTTGGCCAAGATTTATGATGAAATACTATTTATTTGCAAAATTTTATAAGAAAAACACTTTTTTTCAAAATTTTTGGACTTTTTAATTTACATAGCAAAAGTATTTATAGTGAATAAATACCACCAAAATAAAGCTTTATCTGTCTCAAAAAAATGCTAATAAATTCATATGAGTACAGTGTTGCATGACCGCGCAATTGTCATTCAAAGTGTGATAGCACTGAAAGCTGAAAATTGGCCTGGACAGGAAGGGGGTAAAAGTGTCTGGACTAGAAGTGGTTAAAGTCCCCATTTGAAATGCAAAAAATGCAAAACAAAAAATTGGAAAGCACATAAGCATTTTATTATTTTGAAGTTTGTATTTTGTATTTGTTTTCTTCAAGAATGCAGTTGTTCTTGTAAATCCCTTCATAGTACTGATCTCTGAAGTTAGTACAATGTCCTCACTTTAGCTTCTTACCTTCGTATAAATGGCTTTGTTTACCTTAAAGCCTAAGCACATCCAAAAAAAAAAACACAAAAAAAAAATAGCACTGTGGATATGCCCCACCTGAAGCTGTAATCTTTCAATGTGGAGGGGGTAATAGAACTGTGAGAACTGGCACAGGAGACCCTGACAATGCCCTCTCCTTCCAGCCAACTACTATATTTCATAGATGCCATACTACAGCTTCAATGAATGAAGAAGAATCTGTGAACGGAGGGAGCACACCTTTGAAATATTCCGCTCATCTGCTAGTCCTCCATTTATTGATCCTGTCTCTGGGTCCATAGGGGGCCAGAGACAGCAACAAAAACTTGACAAAGGCTTTAACAAGAGAAGACCTGGAAATTTTGACCTGAAAGCCAAATATAACCAACTGGTCCTGTCATGTTACAAACAGTATTCAGTGCGCCTAAGAAGTTTCTCTAAAAGTGTGTCACAATTATTGGTGGCCATGGTTAAAGGTGGGCATGGTCTCAAAAAATACAGTTTATTGCATCCCACCCTTTCCCATATATGTTAAAAAAAGAGAAATTGCATATAATGAAGTTTATAGGTTTCATTTGTGTCAGACATGTTGTAGAGACCCATATTTGACTACCATGTGTTCCTGCAACTTTATTGGAATGTCTGGTATGGAACTCCCTACTATCTCTTATTTGGAAGGCCTATTGCTTTTTTGAGACCAAATCCCTCTGTCTATTATGCAGCCTCAGTTGTCCCTCTTTTTGTTCTGATCTGTACTTCTCTATACAAAATGTGCTTCTCTTACTACTAAATGTTTTATGCTGCAACTAAACTTTTTATCCAACTACTATATTATTACTTTTAACCCCTCATTTTCATGTATATTAGATCTTTCTGGTCTATGCAAACGGGGCCATGGAAGGTATGTGTCCTTTGCCTACATACTGGACTTGATTTACTAAAACTGGAGAGTGCAAAATCTGGTGTAGTTGTGTATGGTAGCCAATCAGCTTCTTATTAACCCCTTCATGCTGCTGTAACACAAATATGCAGCCTCACAGAACTGGACTTTTTTTCTGTGGGGCCGCATATTTGCATACCTGTCTTTGTGCTGGGAGCACGCCGCACAGCGTCCTCCCAGCACAAAGACCGGGGTGTCACTGAGAGCCCCGGGTCCCGTTCTAACGATTGGGACACTGGACTCCTGATTCTGGGTCACATGATCGCTGTGATACCCTCTGATTGGCTATCAGAGTGATCAGTCACTGTACAGCCCACCCCTCTTGTTTTTCTTTTTTCCCTTTCTCTCTGAATGGAGGAGAGAGATACACTGTATCTCTCTCTCTCCATACATAGAGGAAAACAACTGTTTGTTAAAAATATAAATATATAAATATTAAAAAAGAAAAGAAAAAATACCTAGATCAAGGTTTGATCTAGTTCAGTGCCAGGGTTAGTGTTTGGGTCAAGGTCAAAGGTCAGGTTTTTTTTTTGGGTTAAATTGGTATCAGTGTCAGTTAGTGTCAGTGTGTTTTAGGTAAAAAAAAAAAAACACAAAATGCGCACTATTGTTTGTGGGCTGTACTGTGGGTACAATTAACAAATAACATACACATATAAATGGTATCGCTGCAATCGTCAAGAGCTGGAAAATGTATTTTGGGTTGTTCTTTGGTGGTAGGTTATTGTAGTAACAAGTATCACACAGCTAAATTTAAAAAAAAAAAAAAATGTCACTATTTTGGGCCAGTTTTCCTTTGATAATAAAAAAAAATCAGGAGATATCCATTACCATTTACCACCAAATTAAAGCCCAATTTGTCCTGAAAAAAGCAAGGTATAATTTCACCTGGATGTACAAAGTAGTTGTGATGATATGTACGGTTTTACTAACACATGTCAACGTTGCAAAATTGTGCTTAGCCTTTAAGATTTGTTTTACCCTTAGGCATGAATGGGGTTAAGCTTTGACAAAATATTACCTGGAAGCTGATTGGTTTCTATGCAGAGCTGCTCCAGATTTTGCACTCTTCAGTTTCAGCAAATCAACCCCATTGTGTGCAAAAAGTATCTCTATTTATCATTTCAGAAAGATGGGAAGTATGTAGATTGTAGTACTGTGCCAGGTCAATCTCATGGCTTGCTGGTGACGTACTTCATCCACTGGGGAGAATTCCCTTCACTTCTTGTCCTGCAGACAGTGGTCACTGAGACAGAAAATGAAGAAAATCAATAAATACCAACTGAGGTTCTAAACCTTCCCCTCTGTATCCCAAACAAGAAAAACAATCTTTTGGCTGAAAGTTCCAAGCATGTCAGAGAAGGCTTCATTTCCTGATAGAAATGTAAAACTTTGACATAACTTTGACTCTAAAAGTTTGGGCTTTTGATATATGTAAAATAAGGAAGGCTATTCTAAGATATATTATAGTTATCACATGTTATTTTATTCCAGAAATATAGTCAACGGTGCTTTGAAAATAGCCAAACTCTATTCCTAAGAATGCACAACGTTTATCCAGCTCTTCCTGTTGGATGGGACATCTTGATCTATTTCCATGAGCCTCAGGCTTCCGAATTATTGGATTGAAGTTTCTCTGGGACCCAAAAATCCCCATATGTGTATAATAGTGCTATAATAAACCAAGAAATAAAGTCTTGAACTGAGTGGTCAACGCAATGCAGCTTTCAGCTATTCTGAATGTTTTTTATAGTATGAAACCTTAGCTGCCTGGCATAGGCTCCTTATACCAGGCTGGAGGTGTTGTGTTACTGTTCACTGTTTTTACACTTGCTTTGTCGAAGGAGGTAATAGACACTTTGGGATTTCAAACAGCTGGAGTCCCCATGAAGAGACCACCTCTTTTCAACAGGGGGACTGCCAAATAAACTCTGCAGGCTGTGAGGGCAGATCATCATTGCCCCCAAAAAGCTGGACCAGACAGCTGCATCCACTGACTCTCCCCATGCGTGTGCTTTAGAGAGGGTCAGGTTCTGTCTGCTTGCTTCCATCCACTCTCCAGACTGCTGCTGGGGAGCTGCCCATCTGCTGCCCTGTGAGGGGATAGAGGACTATTATTCCTGGAGATCACATAGAAGAAATGAAGATGCCTAAAAGGAAAAATTTGCTGCTGACATGGCTTGTTCTTCTGGAACTCTACTGGGGATGTGAAGCACAGGCAAATTATCAAGGTAACTAATATACCATAACTTCACATAGCAGCTGAATACACACCATCCTCTTTTTAACAATCTAACACATTTTATAGAAGTATTGATACAGCATCTGAATATAGTTGATATACTTGGGTACTGTGTGTGTAACATTTTATGTGTCTAATGACTTTAAAGATATAGGTGGGTTCATCTGGGTTTAAAGCAGTATTTAAACCCAAAAGTAAACATTTATTTAATGGCAGCTTACCAATTCTTAGATGTGATGGATGCATTTGTTTTATTTTTTAGGCTTTATTTCTTTTAATTTCACCCAGTGATCCTGCCAGTCTTTTATGTTATTAACAGAACAAGCTGAACTGCAGATGTAGTGGTTAGAGAGTTGGAACAAACCATTTAACACTGACAAATGTTCTTACAATAATCAGCTTGTATTTGTTTATGTGAAACCTTATCCCAAAAGGAACAAGACTGTTTGATGTAACTGCTTAAAGCATATTAGCTGGAGTTTGGCTTCAATTTGTTTATTATGATTAAATCTACTAGTACATTTAGCACTAACCCCCCCCCCCCCCCCTCCAGATTAAATATGTTGCTGTCCAAAGGTGTTTCTGTTGCTCCTCTCCATCCAGAGTGTAAGCACCCTAATACAAGAGGCATGTTACTGGCCACTTCAACAGGTGAAAACAGAGGGGGAGGAAGCCTAACAAAAGAAAACTAATGCGGCCACCATATCTACTGATTGCTAAGCTGCAATATATTACATTTTTATTTTGGGTTTAATACTACTTTAGCAATAACACAGATCTTATTCTTACATATACTATAATATCTGGGACAGCCATATTTAATGAAAATGTATTGATTATAAGTATTTATATAGTGACATCAAATTATGCACTGCACATTTACATCAGGTCCTGCCCTCAAAGAGCTTACAATCTTTAGACCCTATTTCACATACATATACTATGGTCAATTTAGACAGGAGCCAATTAACTTGCCAATATGTCTTTAGATTGTAGGGGGAAAACAGAGTACCCAGAGGAAACCCACACAATCATATGGATAACATGCAAACCGATAGTTTCATGGTAAAAATTTTAAATTTGTCCTAATTAACCTCATAGATGTGTATGCCGAAGTCACCATGATATACTCATGTCCCCTTCTTTTGTGCCAATTTCAGCTGCTGGTTTTAGTTGTGCACTAGCCCTATAGTGATGATCAGATTAATCTGTCAGTGGAACTATACTCACCTCACTCCAGTGATGTGGTGTCCATGAGTACCCTCGTCAGCCTCTGACATCTTTGGACAGATTCTGATCATCAACAATTTAAATTGTATTAAACAAAATAATTATTAATTAAAACCCTACTTTAACAAATATGGCTGCTATTACTTGGTGTTCACAATTTTTTTTGGTATAAAATACCAAGTGGCAGCTGCAACAGAATATTTTATTTTTTATTTCAGGTACTTTCTATAGCTCTGTCAATTTACACAGTGCTTTACATATATATTGTACATTCACGTCAGTCCCTAACCCTCAAGGGGCGTACAATCTAAGGTCCCTAACTCGCATACATACACTAGGCCAATTTAGACAGGAGCCAATTAACCTACCAGCATGTCTTTAGAGTGTGGGAGGAAACCAGAGTACCCAGAGGAAACCCACACAGGCATAGGGAGAACATGCAAACTCCAGGCAGGTGGTGCCGTGGTTGGGATTTGAACCAACGTCCCTAGTACTGCCAGGCAGAAGTGCTAACCATTTTAGCCACTGTGCTGCCCGTATGTTGCAGGGAGTCACTTAACTGTGCTCCTCCATTGACAACTGCCTAGTTTGACAACCTGAGTGGCATCACGTACAATAAGAATAGCATTTGATATTCCTTGGTAAAGATGGTGAAATTATTATGATACAAGATATATTTCTCTAGATCAGCCTTTCTCAACCAGGGTTCACTGGAACCTACAGTTCCTCTAGAGGTTCCTAAAGCTTCCTTGAGCAATGAGCAATCTTTGCCTCTTAGATAAGTTAACACTGACACCTTTTAGAGATCTTTTAAAATGTTACTAAACCCAGGACCCTGCATTCATTATATCTGGTCTCCAACATTGCACAGAACATAGATGTGCAATTATTTTAGTGAACATAAACTGCTAAATACCTTTTCTCATCAGCAGTTAGAGCAGTCTTGTGACTTCTATCAGTGTCCAACAGAGCACTGGTTAAAGCTTGTAGGAGGAGTTTTCATACTCCTCTTGCTGTCCTATGAGACTGCACTGTCCTGTGCAGAACACATGCACTCTCCCTAAAAATAAACTCTCTAGCAATACTAACCAAACGTAGTATGTGCAGCTTGCCCCCAAGGCTCTGTTCTATCAGGAGATGAGTTAGGGACAGTAGAAGAAGGGGAGAATCAGGGAGGACAGGATCAAATATCCTTTTTACACAATGCAGAGGATTAACCCCTTAAGTTTCACAGTGAGTATAACAAGCATGTTTTTCTGCATATACAGACTGATTTTACTGTTGTGGGTTTAGTAACACTTTAAGCTATCTATAAGGGAGGCATTTGTCTCAAGTGAAAGGAACCTTCTTCCCCCTGACCATCATACGAATGTACCATGAGCTAGAGATATAGTAATTATTAGCAGGGTTTCCTTGAGGCTGAAAATACATTTCAAGGGTTCCTCCATGTTAAAAAGCTTGAGAAAGGCTGATCGAGAATAAAATGCTTGAGAAAGGCTGCTCTAGAATAAAACACTTGAGAAAGGCTGCTCTAGAAAAAAATGCTTGAGAAAGGCTGCTCTAGAATAAAATGCTTGAGAAAGGCTGCTCTAGAGTAAATCGCTTGAGAAAGGCTGCTCTAAAAGTAAACCGCTTGAGAAAGGATGCTCTAGAGTAAAGTGCTTGAGAAAGGCTGCTCTGGAATAAAACGCTTGAGAAAGGTTGCTTTGGAATAAAACGCTTCAGAAAGGCTGCTCTAGAGTAAAATGCGCTTCAGAAAGGCTGCTCTAGAATAAAACGCTCGAGAAAGGCTGCTCTAAAGTAAAACGCTTGAGAAAGGCTGCTCTGGAGTAAAACGCTTGAGAAAGGCTGCTCTAGAATAAACCACTTGAGAAAGGCTGCTCTAGAATAAAACGCTTGAGAAAGGCTGCTCTGGAATAAAACGCTTGAGAAAGACTGCTCTAGAGTAAAATAGTTGTACAATACTGTCTAGAACTTCCTAAAACTAAAGCCATCTGCATCACTAGTGTCCACTAGTGAACACTAATCACTTCCAGAGCCTGCGTCTCAGTGAGAACACTCTAGCACCTGCTGGCACAACAGAGTTTCTGTGCTTGTATGCTCTAGAGCAGTGATGGCGAACCTATGGCACGCGTGCCAGAGCTGGCACGCAGAGCCATCTCAGTGGGCACGCCAGGAAGAAGAGCGAGCGCGCATGGACCGGCCATCCAGATCTCGTCCACACTGGACCCCCATCAAACTACATTTCCCACATGTCTCTGGGGCCAGGGTGGGTGTGGCGTGGACGAGAGGAAACGGCTCCAATGCGGCTCTGGCACCAGGGGTGATGTACCCGGGGATTGGCGCGGAAGAGAGGAAGAGGCTCCCCACACTGCTCCGGGGCCAGGGGCAACGTGTTCAGAGTGGATGGGAATGAGCTGCTGGGTTGGAAAGCCACACCGACGCTGCCAGAGGTGAGATTAACTGCTTGCAGTGTCGCCTGTCAGTGCCCAGCAGTGTCGACCATCAGTGCTGCCCATCAGTGCATCCATCAGTGCCCCATCCAGTGTGCAGTGTCGCCTGTCAGTGCTGCCCAGCAGTGTCGCCTGTCAGTGCTGCCCAGCAGTGCCACCTGTCAGTGCTGCCCAGCAGTGCCACATGTCAGTGCCCAGCAGTATCGCCCATCAGTGCTGCCCATCAGTGCCACCCATCAATGATGCCCAGCAGTGCCATCCATCAGTGCCCAGCAGTGTCACCCATCAGTGCCCAGCAGTGTTGCCCATCAGTGCCACCCATCAATGATGCCCAGCAGTGTCATCCATCAGTGCCCAGCAGTGTCACCTATCAGTGCCCAGCAGTGCCACCTGTCAGTGCTGCCCAGCAGTGCCACCTGTCAGTGCCCAGCAGTGTCGCCCATCAGTGCGACCCATCAATGATGCCCAGCAGTGCCACCGATCAGTGCCGTCTGTCAGTGCGTCCAGGTAGGCAAGTGGTTAATTGCAGTGTTGGCACTTTGAAATAAAAAAGTTGGTTTGTGTTGCAGTTTTGGGCACTCGGGCTCAAAAAGGTTCGCCATCACTGCTCTAGAGTAAAACGCTTGAGAAAGACTGCTCTAGAGTAAAATGCTTGAGAAAGGCTGCTCTAGAGTAAAATGCTTGAGAAAGGCTGCTCTAGAGTAAACTGCTTGAGAAAGGCTGCTCTAGAGTAAACCGCTTGAGAAAGGCTGTTCTAGAATAAACCACTTGAGGAAAGCCTGCTCTAGAATAAACTGCTTGAGAAAGCCTGCTCAAGAGTAAAACATTTGAGAAAGTCTGCTCTAGAGTAAAACGCTTCAGAAAGGCTGCTGTAGAATAAAACACTTGAGAAAGGCTGCTCTGGAATAAACCGCTTGAGAAAGGCTGCTCTGGACTAAACCACTTGAGAAAGCCTGCTCTAGAGTAAAACATTTGAGAAAGTCTGCTCTAGAGTAAAACGCTTCAGAAAGGCTGCTGTAGAATAAAACACTTGAGAAAGGCTGCTCTGGAATAAACCGCTTGAGAAAGGCTGCTCTGGACTAAACCACTTGAGAAAGCCTGCTCTAGAGTAAAACATTTGAGAAAGTCTGCTCTAGAGTAAAACGCTTCAGAAAGGCTGCTGTAGAATAAAACACTTGAGAAAGGCTGCTCTGGAATAAACCGCTTGAGAAAGGCTGCTCTGGACTAAACCACTTGAGAAAGCTTGCTCTAGGGTAAAACGCTTGAGAAAGGCTGCTCTAGAATAAAACACTTGAGAAAGGCTGCT